TATACAACTGTATGCACTATTGGTAAATATTAAAAAAAACAAGATCACATTCGGAAATTGTGTGGTTCGGCGTTTTCTGCAGCAATAAACTCACTGAAGCAATATTTTCCGGATATGGATAATCGTCAGTCCAGTTCTTGGATATTAAGACGATTTATTACGGATGATAACACTATTAAAGACGAAGACCTGACGGTCAAAGTGGAATATCTTGGACTACACCAGAATACTACTTGCAGAGTAGAATTTCAAAATTATGATCTTAGCACATTTTGACGAAAAGCTGGTACCGAATATCCTGCTCTAGCTAGCAGAGCTTTAAAAATTCTAATATTCTTTGCCAGCACCTATAGATGTGAGAGTGGTTTTTCAACTTTGGTTACAGTGAAAACTAAGACCAGAATCCTTCTAAATGTGGAGCATGACTTAGGATGCGCCTTAAGCAAAATTAAAGCTAACATAAAAAGAATTGAAAAATGTAAAAAAAAATAATACCAACCATCACACTAATTATTTTGGCTTAATTTATTGTTTAGGTATATAAAATTGTAAGACTGATGTGCAATTTGTGATTATTAAAGATATTTGTATTTACTTGTGTTGTTTATATTGATAACATTTTAAGGTCGGGGTAAAATCAGTTTTCGTAATAGGTCACAGGGGTAACAATATTAAAAAGGTTAGGAACTACTGCATTAGAACATAGTATAGGCCTGACGCTGGAAGCTGGCGGAAATTTTAAAATGGCGTGAATGCGCGGTGGCAAAAGTAGGCAGTTTTAGGTATAAAGATTGCAACCCTCATTCTTCAGTATTCCTATCAAAGGAGTAGATTAAATATTTAAAAATAGGGATCAGTGAGCAAGTAATAGACATACAAACAGAAGAACTATTTGTTGATGTTGGTGACAGTGATAGAGATTCCGATGATGACAGTGAATGTGAAAACTAACTATAAAACCAAAGCGATAGGTTAATTTTTTCTTTTTGATAAGTCATGTTTTTACATTATTTTCTAGTACGCTACTGTCCTATCTGTATTAATACTATAATTTACGCCTACTGAAAGCTTATTTGTGTATCGGTTCCAAGTGACTTACCCAAATAGGTCATAAATGGGCAAGTACGTCTGCGCGACCTGTACCTACTTACTCCTTAATATTACGAAATATATGTAAACTTATTGAGTATTTTAATAAAAGAATTGTGATACCACATAAATGCTTCTACGTAATATCTAATTCTTATTTGTACGAACATCTAATGATCTTATTTAGTTTCTAAAGTAAATAGCTTAAATACAAACCCTGGTCTATTATTGTAACTTCCACAGACGATCCGGTTGGTATTTCCTCGATGTGCACACACGGACATGTAGTGTCGTTTAGACAGGAGCTGGGCTTACGATACAAATTACACTTAAGGTTTCCTGGGATATCTTCGTATTGACTTAACAGGGGTGACGAGGGGTAAACGAACGTGATATTGTTCATGCTATAAACCCGCGAGGTCGAAAGTAATTGCTCTATAAAAGGTAATTGGGTTTAAGTAATGAAACTCGACTGTTTAACAAACTATTACATACAGATAACACAATAACATGGTTTGACTTAGAAACGCATTTTGACGAATCGAAATTCAAAATCATGCCCCAGAGATTTACGCTTAATCAAGATTGACTTCTAAGAATTTTCAAACATTTGTCAAAGATAGTGGTATACTTCGTTTACTTTCTGTAGCGATGTGACCTTCAGTTTGACCGGCGCAAAGTAGAAAAGAACAGCACTAGGCCAGAAAAGGAAGGAGACAACTCTCGGCCAAACTCTTAACCGGTGAGGAGCGTATAATCCGTACAGTACTGCACGGAAAAATTGACCATTTTATCCACTACAATTGCATTGCTCAAATGTGCTGTTATTGGTACCATTTACTACTGAAAATATCAACGAGATGTTTATTTATATTTGAAGACATATTAAGGGCTTTAACGCTTGTTTTCGACTCGCATTACTATTCATGATTGAACAAAACTTTTGGCAGGTACTGTATGAAAAAGTATGTTTAATGAACAAGAGTCGAGAGTATAATGAGCTTTTTTCTCCCTACCTACGATTTTGACAGCGCGCATCCATGACATTGGAAGGGGCACATCGCTAGAGAAAGTAAATGAAGTATAGGTATCTAATGAAACAATCGGAAAAACATAGAAAACAGTTATTCTAGAAGCCAAAAAGTATATCTTAAGTCAAATGGCCCAAAAACTTGGCAATATGCGAATATCGCCGTGTTTTGTTTTGCATAACCTTGCATTGAAAAGAACACAAAATTTTCTATAAAAAAGTTCTTGCAGTTTTTTTCATCAAGATAGGCAACACTTCATTAGATCAAAGAATTATAGTTTCTATCAAGTTTTCCCTCTTCTGTGAACCTATTCCATTATTTTATTTGTGATGTAATAAACATTCGAGCTAGACACTAGGGCATAGTGACACCATACAATTGTTTTTTTTAAATTTTACACCGTTTTACACTAACGAAATGAATTCATGATTTTTTATGTAGAATCAAATAACGATATTGCTTTTTCCAGAATAACCATTTTTCTATATTAATTTGTTTCAATAATATTGTTGTAGAAAATTGTATAATCTTTTCAATGGATTTGGTCTCGTTAGTGTAACTTTATTGTTCACGAGATTTAATAGACGAAAATATTTATAGATACATTATTTTCCATGCTTTTCTTATGAAAAACTAGTTAATAGAAAGATCAATGAGTGACCAGTAAGTATCAATATTATGAGCTCTCCTTGGACCAAAGCTTTTTTCGTATGCATTTGCTACTATTAAACTTGGTTGAAAAAAAAAAAGATTTTTTTTAATAGTGCTAGTGTTCTTAAGTACTTTGTCTATGTACTACTAGTTAAAAAGTAATCATAATTTGTGCAGATTTACAATACACTCTATATACTACGATGAGTGGTATGAATAAAAATGGGAATATATGTTTTTTGAGCATAAAAATTGTAAATATTACTAGTCATAAAAGTAAAAATTCGAATGATACCTATAGCTTTAAAATGTTCCCACAATTCATTCAAATAAGCCATTTTTTATATAGTGTTTCGGAAAAACAGTAGTTTTTCAGTATATTTAGCTTTAAAAAAACGGTTATAGCAGTTTTATGTTCAATGCACGTTCTAAAAAAAAAAACAACGAAACAACAAAAAAGGCTACGTGTAATTGTGATTTTAAAGCCTATGGAGATTTTCTGAGAAGAATGTGGTCTATTTCATATAAAAGCGGAGGTGTGTGATTTTCAAGATGAATGAAATAAAAATATTTTTAAGGTGTGTGGGTGATCCAAGATTTTAAACAGGAGGCCGAAGATATATAGAGCATACGTATATTCTATATTAAGCTTAACATGAACTTTTATTCCTCGAAATTGTATGGCTTTATTCTCATAAATTTGAATATAAACCGTATAACCGTATAAGTTATCTCACTTAAACTCTTGTTTTATTCATACCACCAATTACTTATGTATATTATTCATAATTTTGTCATAAAAGTTTCACTTCAACCGTGTGCATATATGATCGAAACATTAATATTCTTTCTTTACTTATATTCTAATTTTTTACAACATATTTATATGTAACTGACTTTTTTTGTTTTGAACGTATTATTATTTACTAAAACAATTTCTTTCGTTTACCTAAGGCATCTTAAATTGTAAAAAAATGCTAATAATTAGGGGTACGTTTTTGAGAGCAAAACGAGATTGTCCCCTTTTGATTATTCCAAAACAACAAAGGAAAGTGTTGATGATTTCAAAAGATTAAAAAATCCCTAAAAAAGGTCTAGTTTTCTAGTTTTCGGTATTGGAAAAGATTGTAAGTAAAACAACTAAACCCAACCCATTGCTAATCAGATCAACTAGTAATAAGAGTCTGTGATAATCAAATAATTATAATTGAAACAGTAAATTCGTTTTTATCACTTTATTTTTGTAAATTGTGCTACTATAGTCTCAACAGCATAGTTACCTTTATTAGTCAATTCAGTTTCATTCATACAACTTGTTAAAAAAAAGTAATAAAAAAAAGTTGTTGTTTTAATTAAAATTATCATAACACTTCGTGTTTTGCCCCCGTAATCTTATGATCCTAAGCAATCAAAACATTATTAGGTATTCTGTAAAGTTAGATCAGGAACTGGCGATATCTTGCCCACCGTTGGTGAAAAAGAAAGAAATTTCTTTGTTTCTTCAGAATATTACTATTTTCTACATATCTATATCTATACATATCTGAGATGACAGAATGAAAGTTGTCAGCGAATTAAATTTACTACTAAAAATGAACAAATGACGCATTCCGATGGAAAATTAAATTCTCGCGAAAGTTTCGAATTTTGCTTTGTTTTCGATTTTTTTTTTTTTTAAATTTCTGTCGTTTCTCAAAAACGCGTCCCTAAGTTTAGTGGCACTTTGTGATTGTATCATTTTTATGTGTGAAACGTATCAAACTGTAAAAACCCTTCAACGCAACTACTCTTTTCTACCCTTTAATTTAAAACATTTTCATTTTATTTATGTAAACAAATGGAGTATGAACTTTCACCAAGTCAAACCAACTGTATTTTATGAATGTCGTGCATTTCCATTTTGCTAATTCAATAATATATAATTTTAAGAAGGAAATAAACTCACTTTGGTTTCCTCCGGCATCGGTGTTCCTGTTTATCGCTAAATAAATTTTCCTGTCGACTCTTTCTGTCTTGAGTTGCGCAGGCATTTTACTGGCTGATTTTGCAGTCTCGACGCATAGGTGACCTACTTTGCTTTCGCATGGTCTCGTGGAAAAATTTCTCTGTTCTTGAGCCGAAATCGTTGCCGAGGGGCGAATGTAGGAAGGATTACTAAGTTTCTTATTTTCGTTACCTGTCGCTTCCCCATTATTATATTTCACCAGAGCATTAACCTCTCGTACACTTTCATAGCACAGCAACGAAGTAATTCTCAAGAGGTGGCTACCCTCATTCACTTTCGCATTAACAATAAAATCCACCCTTTCGCCCTTCATCAAATCAATGGACGAAGCTTCGAAGGGTAACACAGGATTACCATCCAACGATACAATCTTGAGGATATGATTATCTAAAGATATTTGTACTGGACAGTTAAATAATCCTCCTACGTATGCAACTCTGAACCTGTACCTTTTACCCTGTTTTACCGTAAAAGTATGGGTTTCTTTTCCAGAGTTGGAGGATGCGCCGTTTATCATTAGGGCTCTTGGGGAATAATGATTTTTTATAGAATTTTCATCTCCTCCTTCGGAAATAACTAACGTGTGCTCTTTTAAATCGTAATCATAGAATTTTTTGTGGAAGTCAAATTTGTGAGGTTGTCTAACTACAAGTGCACCAAAAACACCATCAGCAATATCACTACCGGAATGGGCGTGCCATATGTGCGTCCCAGGAGATGTTACTCTAAATTTGTACTGAAAAGTCGTGTAACCCGGTATCGAACACTGGGTTATCATGGGCACACCGTCCATGAGGGGCATTTCGTTTTGGGGTTGACCTCTCCAATGCAGTGTCAAACTTTTGCCGGGAATTGCATTCAAAACATCAACTACAATAATATCATTTTGACAAACGTGAAGAGCCGGTCCAGGTATTTGATTATTTGTTGTAATTGTAGAATGGAGTCTATTTCTCAAACAGATCGATCGGCAAGATGTTGAATTTGATGAACAATTTTCGCAAAAACTAAAATCAAAGACTATTCTAGCAACTACGAGTATGTTAATAATCTGTGAAAGAATGTTGAAATAGAATAGATGCTGCTGTAACTGTTATTTTTCTTTTTTTTATATTTTATTAATTTCACTTACACAGTTTGATACTGAAGTATTTCAATTTTCATCTTGACGCGGCATATCATTGGCCAGTCTAAATGATGGCAAGGTCTATCACAGCTTAGAAAATATTCCTCTGAAAAA